TCCTTCTCCAGAGACTGGTCCCTCCTGATAACATGTCCAAAATACGTGAGACGAAGTATTGCCGTCCTTGCTTCTAAAGAGCTTTCTGGCTGTACTTCTTCCAAGACAGATTTGTTCATTCTTCTGGCAGTCCTTGGTGTATTCAACATTCTTCGCCAACACCATAATTCAAAGGCATCAATTCTTCTTCAGTCTTTCTTGTTCATTGTCCAGCTTTTGCATGCATATAAGGCGACTGAAAATACCATCCCATGGGTCAGCCGCACCTTAGTCCTCAAAGTGACATCTTTGCTTTTTAACACTTTAAAGAGGTCTTTTGCAGCAGATTTGCCCAAGGCAATATGTCGTTTGATTTCCTTACTGCTGCTTCCATGGGCATTGATTGTGGATCCAAGTAAAATGAAATCCTTCACAACTTCAATCTTTTCTCTGTTTATGATGATGTTGCTTATTGGTCCAGTTGTGAGGACTTTTGTTTTATTTATGTTGAGGTGTAATCCATACTGAAGGCTATGGTCTTTGATCTTCATCAGTAAGTGCTTCAAGTCCTCTTTGCTTTCAGCAAGCAAGACTGTGTCTTGTGTGTATCACAGGTTGTTAATGAGTCTTCTTCCAATCCTGATGCTGTGTTCTTCTTCATATAGTCCAGCTTCTCGGATTATTTGCTCAGCATACAGATTGAATAAGTATGGTGAGAGGATACAATCCTGTTGTATACCTTTCCTGACTTTAAACCACGCAATATCCCCTTGTTCTCTTCCAACAAGTGCCTCTTGGTCTAAGTACAGGTTCCTCATGAGCACAATTAAGTGCTGGAATTCCCATTTTTTGCAATGTTAATCAATAATTTGTTATGATCCACACAGTTGAATGCCTTTGCATAGTCAATAAAACACAGGTGAACATTTTTCTGGTATTCTCTGCTTTCAGCCAAGATCCATCTGACATCAGCAATGATATCCCTGGTTCCATGTCCTCTTCTAAATCCAGCTTGACTTTCTGGCAGTTCCCTGTTGATATACTGTTACAATCACTTTTGAATGATCTTCAACAAAATTTTACTTGTGTGTGATAACCCAAACTTCCTGGGATTTAGTTATATAATTTTTAAAAAATAGTGGATTATAAATTTTCTTATTATAAAATCCCAGGTCCTTTAATGGCTCCAAATCACAGGCACTAGGTTGCCATTAAAGGACATGGGATTTTATAATCCACTATTTAAAAAAAAAAAGTATAACTAAATCCCAGGAAGTTTAAGTTAATCAACAACATCAAATGCAATACAAGGAATCTTGAGAAGAATCCACTGGATTTGATAAGAGAAAAAGCTTTAGGAGAAGGATTGGGACAGAATCACATTTATATGAGGGACAGAGGTGAATGGGTGGATAGGAAGCAGAGGTTTCCCAGAGAATAGAAGAGTGATGGAAAAGTAGTTGGAAGGATCAAGCAAAAAATTTTTGTTTTTAAGCTAGGGAAGATCTATACATGTGTTATGGATTAAATTGGTCCCCCCAAAATGTGTGTCAATTTGGCTAGGCTATGATTCCCAGTGTTGTGTGGTTGTCCTCCAATTTGCGATCTGATGTGTTGTAAATCCTAACCTCTATGATGTTAATGAAGCAGGATTAGAGGCAGTTATGTTAATGAGGCAGGACACATTGTACAGGATTAGGTTGTATCTTGAGTCAATCTCTTTTGAGATATAAAAGATAGAAGCAAGCAGAGAGGAGAGAGATCCCATACCACGAAGAAAGAAGAGCCAGGAGAAGAGCACATCCTTTGGACCTAGGGTTCCTATGCTGAAAAACTCCTAGACCCAAGGAAATATTGATGACAAGAACCTTCCCTCACAGCCAACACAGAGAGAAATCCTTCCCCTGGAGCTGGCGCCCTGAATTTAGACTTTTAGCCTCCTAAATTGTGAGACAGTAAATTTGTTTGTTAAAGCCATCCTCTTGTGATATTTCTGTTATTGCAGCACTAGATAACTAAGACAACATGTTTGAAGACAGAAGAGATTGTTGCTGAAGAGGAAAAGGACTGACAGGGCTGGCTTCATGGGCATGTGACACAGGGGCCTGTGTTTGGAAAGTCCCACACTTGATTTAATACGACTCTGCTGTCACTGTATTGAGATTCTTAATAACGTTTTAACCAGGGGCCCTCCATTTTCATTTTGCACAAAGCCCTGAAAATTATGTTGTGGGTCACTGTAAAAAATGGCATGGTAGGGGCCTCTGATATTCTCTAACTTCAGAAAGGGGAAGGAGAATCAAGATCAACAGCCCAAGGCTGATTCCTATGAGGCAGAGGTCAAACATACCTCCACTCTCCTTTTTACCAATTCTGAAACCAGCCATCCCTCCCACAGCATCCTCTACTTCTCTGGGTTCAATAATTCATTGCAATTGCCACATGGAACTCAGAGACCATACTCATGATTATGGGGTTTATTAGGGAAGTAACAGTTATAATTCAGGATCAGAAATGACTCAGAATACAGCTATTCCATCAGGACAGCTTCTTCTCAGCCGTGCCTGTAGGCAGGCCTCTCCCTGGCCCTCGACCCCTCAGCCCCTCAGCCTGGCCTCTGCCCTGCTTGGGCAAGTGTTACAAAAATCTTTAGCTCCACTGATAGATAAGTGCCTGGAGGCACCCCACTTCACCAGGAAGCCTCCTGCCTGAAGGCGCTCAGCTCTCTTGCTATGCAGGTTGGCAAACCTAGCTCTGCCAACAAGTGCCCAGGGGCACCCTACTCTGCCAGGAAGCCTCCTACCTGAAGGTGCTCAACTCTCTTACTCCATGGGCCGGCACACCTGCTGTAATCGCCTTGTTCCATGGGCTAGGAAGCCCACCGCACCATCTCACACCAGTCTCCTGGTTCTGCTGCCACTGCTTCTCTGCTGCCACTTCTCACAGTCTTGCGTCGTCTCTGGTGTTACAACTCTGTCTCCTGGGTCTAGGAGGTTCTCAGCACAGGGACCCTGGGTCCAAAGAATGCACTTCACTCCCATTTCTTTTTCTTTGTGGTAGTCAGGTTCCCACTCTTCTCTGGGATTGAATCTCTTTTAAGCCTAGCAGATGGCAAAACTAACCAATCCCCTCATTATGGTTCCATATACTTTATTTACCTGTTTCCACCCCCATAAGGGTACCACGCACCTTATTTGCATTATTAGCAAGCTAAGCTGTCCAATCCTGTTGGTGGGCCACAAGTACCTTATTTGCATAAACCAAAATCAAACCCATTGTTGTCAAGTCAATTCCAACTCATAGCGACACTATAAGGATGGAGTGTAACTGCCACATAGGGTTTCCAAGACTGTAATCTTTACAGAAGCAGACTGCCACATCTTTCTCCCACAGAGCAGCTGATGGGTTTGAATTGCCAACCTTTCGGTTAGCAGACGAGTGCTTACCCCCTTTGCCACCAGGGCCCCTTTATTTGCATAGTCCCATCCAATCATTTGGTGGGAGTTATAAGACCATGGCTAGAAAGGCCATGTAAAAGCGATCCATCGCACGACAGTCCCGAGGACTGATATATGTGAAAATGCTTTCAAAGGTATTAAGCACTATATGGTAGGCTGATTAATGGCCCTCCAAAAACGTCCACCTCCTAATGCCTGGAATCTGTGACTATGTTACCTTATATGGCAAAAAGGACTTCGCAGATGTGGTTAAATTAAGGATCTTGAGATGGGCGGGTTATCCTATATTATCTAGGAGGGTCCTTATAAGAGACAAGCAGTAAAGTTAGGGTCAGAAAGTGAAGGCAGTGTGGCAATGGAAGCAGAGGGAGTAAAGGAGATGCCACAATTTGATGCAGGGCCATGAATTAAGGAATGCAGGTAGCCCCTAGAAACTGGAAAAGGCAAGGAAACGGTCTCCAGAAGAAACACAGCTCTGTTGACCCATTTTGGACTTGTGACCTCTAGAACTGTAAGACAATAAATTTGTTTTAAGTCACTAAATTTTTGATATATTACAGGCGCAATAGGAAATTAATACACACTACTTAAATATAAGATAATGTATTGCTAATTTTGTAGAAATCAAAGGTATTATTAATAAAACTAATAGCTATCATTTTTTGAGCACTCCCTAATGCTGGGCACTATACTAAGCCCTTTATGTATATTACTTTATGTAATTCTAGGACAGTATTTGAGGCATTATTATTGTATTCAATTTATTGATCATCAAACTGAGGCTCAGAGAGGTTAAGTAACATGTCTAAGGTCAATTAACTAACTAGTATGTGTTGGAGTTGGGATCTGAACCTAGTGTGTGTCATTCCAAATTTTTCTGTGCGTTTATCCATTCCATATTTTGTAATAAAATTTTGGATATGTCTTAATTCTTTAATGTGCATTATAATTGCATGTGTCAACACAGGAGTGGGGGGTAGGGTGGGGCAGGGATGAAATTCATGTCTGGGATCTAGAAAATAAAAGAGGAGCTGGAATCTCCTCTAGAAGTCACAGGTGGCACCTACAGTAGACAAGAGGCTACAGAAAGTAAATGAGAGAAAGAAAGCGCTTCAGATTGAAAGTGAAGACTCCATAATATTGGTACCTAACTTGTGTTACTGGACAAATCCTAGAGGCTCGGCTGTGCGGTAGCAGGAGATGACATACTTGGCCACCACTGTAGGGACCCACGCAGGGAGGCCGCCCGCTTAGTGTCCTCCGGTCGCCGCCGGAGAACGGAGGCGCGGCAGCCGCGGAGCCGGCCCGGAGGGGAGGATCTCGGCTCTGCTCGCTGGTACCTCCTCTTGTTTTGGAGGCCCGCGTGGTCCCGACTCATTGGCCGCGGTGGAGCTCGAGGGGCCCAGGCGGAGGCGGGGCGGCCACCGCAGTTGTAGTTCCCGGGTTTGCTCGCCCGCCGGCTCCGCCTTCCGGCCGAGGCGCACCCCCGCGCACCGCCAGGACCACAACCCCCACAAGGCCCCGCGCCCCGGCAGGGGTGTGGCCATGAGCAGAGGACGCTGGGGGCGGGGCCGCCGGGCATGAAGTGGGGGCGCTGAGGTCTCCGAGCCTCACTTAAGCTTCCAGGCGCCGGGGAGATCGTCTCCCGCCGCCGGACGGGCGTCCAGACCTCTGACCCTGGAGTCACTCACTGTCCAGGAACCGTCCCCTTCGGTCGTCACTCGGGCTGCCCGCCGTTCCCCCGCCCCGAGGGGCCCGGCCGGCCGCGGCGGGGGGAGAGGTCAGCATGAGCCGGGTGGTCCGCTCGGCCGGATCAGGGCAGGGGGCAGTGGTGTCCGCAGTGCAGCTGCTGGTCGCCCTGAGCTTCTTCCCGGGCGTCGTCGAGGCCCAGGTAAGCACAAGTGATGGCGGTGGGTAGGGATGGGGAGATCCCCGGCCGAACGCCCGCGCAGCTGCGAACGGGCCACTGTTGTGTCGCGCCGAGTGCCGGGGCCGGACCCTGAGGTAATTTGTAGTGAGCGGAAAAGACGAGGGGAAAAAGATGTGACAGCCGAGCCCAGGAAACGTCTGCGAACCGCTTGCGGTGAACAAGGATGGCAACACTCTGGGGTGATGGAAGTAAAAAGAGGAAGATGGTGACGGTCCCCTGAGGTGTTTTCATTTTTTTTTTTCCTAATTTTTTTTAAGCAGCTAGGAGTGTGGCGGGAGATGGGACGGAGTGGAAAGGTTGGCTGTCTTTTGCCAAGAGAGCACCAATAGAAATGGTGAGGCCCTAGCCTTCAGGAGTTAATGAGGCAGGGAGGAGAGATTGAGAGGAGGTGGTAAACCTCCGGGGCTCTGAGAAGCGGAGTGGACTGAGAGGGGAGAAGACTTAACTTTCAGGAACTTTTGGACTAAAGATTTCCTCGTCTTTACCACCTTGCCCAAACACCTTCCCTTGCTCAAGCCTGCTTTATTTCTACCCATCCTGTAACTATATCTGCTAAGTGGCATCACCAGGTGAGTGGAGACTGGGGCTCTGTTCTTGGCCTCGTGGCTCCTGTGACTCTTAGATGGAGGCTCTGGGTCTGTACTGAGGTGGTGGCTGGCGAGTGGATTCGGATATGGGTTTTGTCTTTGTGAACACTACACAAGTGTCCTCAATACCCTGGAAATCTGAGGGTTAGCTGACCAGAGCCTTTGCCTTTCAGACCCACTGCTTAAGAGAGATGTTTGTATTTTATTCATTGGGTTTTGCATAGATTGCCAGGTGCTGCTGTGTCTTGTCTGCACCTGCTGCAAAATGGCAAAACTACTAAGGAAAAAAAAAAAAAAAAGAATTATCTATGTGAGATCAAACTGAAAAAAAAAAAAAAAAAGGTGTCTTGGGGCCAGATAATGAGGCAGATGTCATTTGAAGCAAATAATGCTAATTGCTATGAAAAATTGAGAGTAACTATGAGTGTAACGATGTAAACATGTTTTTCTGACTTTATTCAGACACTTTTTTCATGGTTTTATGATGTTTTGCACTAAATCCCAAACTACCTGATTATACAATTTGTGTCCATGTTTAAATACTTTTTTAATGAATGATAAAAATAAAAGGAACAATTTGGAACAAACAGTGGTGACAGTTGTACAACGTAATGAATTTCATCAGTGTCCATTATACATGTAAAAATGTTGAATTGGCATATGTTTTGTTACATGCATTTATACAATAAAACAGTTAAAAAAAAAAAAAGGGGACAAACTTTGCTTTTGCTGTTGGGGAGCATGTTAAAAATGCAGCATTTCTAGGCCTACTTCCAGACATTCCGATTCCCTGGATCTGAACTATGATACAGGAGTCAACATTTTAAATAAGCCTTGAAAGTAACTATAATGTAGTTACCCTTTGGACTACCCTTCGGATCACATATGGAGAAACACAGAAATAGATAGTGGAACTCTGGGCATACCTACTAAACTAATGAAAAGTAAAGTTTTCAAATTTTCTAGTTAAAATTGGGTGGGTGTTTTTGAGTGAAAGTTACATTTAGGTATTGGTTTTTCTCTTTTTCATTTTTTTATACTTTGTATACTTTGTCACCAATCTAGAAATTTCATTTCAGGTTTTTTCACCTGCCACTAATTATGTGTACTTACGCTTTATAACTGCATGTGTACTTTTAATGTTGTTATGTGAAAATGAATATATATATATATATATATATATATATATATATATATAGTTCAGCAGTTAAAGATTTGTGTATATCTAAAGTAACGTGGTGCCAGACAGTCCTCAAAAGTGAACTCATTTGATTTTTATTTCCAGTGGTACTTTCTAATATAATGTTTGATCATATTTTTGATCATGTTACATTACATGTCTGTAAAATGCTTAAATATACCTTACCTCCTTTTTTTTTGATACATCTTATCAGAAGTTGGGCCATTGAGGTAAATAAAGTTTAAAGAGCTTAAATGACTAATATCAAGAGAGCAGGATTAAATTGGAGCCCTAGGATTAAACTAGAGGCTCCTTTCTAGTCTTACACAGTACAGTTCAGTATACTTGCATCTCTATAGTATGAGAAATAAAGCAGAGGGAGACCCAGGAAAATCGGAAAGTGGAATTAAGCCAATTCTTTCACTTCTCTTCCATATACTAAATTGGTAGAAAAACAATAAAATATAAAGAGTAGAATTAGATTTTTTGAAAAATTCCTCTATTAACAAGAAATCAAGGTGCTCTAGTGGTACAGTGGTTAAGAGCTTGGCTGCTAACCGAAAAGTCTGCAGCTGAAACCCAACAGAGGTTCTGCAGGAGAAAAGACTTGGTGATCTGCTCCCGTGAAGAGTACAACCTGGGAAACCTTATGGAGCAATTCTTCTGTGTCCTGTAGGGTCGCGATGAGTTGGAATTGACTCAACAGCACACAACAACAACAAGAAATCAGTTATTAAAGGCAATATATATTTTGACTATATCTTGTTGCATTAAAGGAGAAAAATTATTTTTTTAATATACTTTTGTCTATCTCATGACCCATTGTATATGTATTTATATATTTTATTGTGTTTTGGGTGAAAGTTTACACAGCAAATTAGGTTCCCGTTTAACAATTTCTATACAAATTGTTCGGTGACATTGGTTACATGTTTTCACAATGTGTCAACATTCTTATTATTTCCATTCTGGTGGTTTCATTTCCATTAATCTGGTTTCCCTGCCTCCTGTTACCTTCTCATCTTTGCTTTAGAGTAAATGTTGACCATTTGGTGTTGTATGGATGATTTTTTAAAGGAGCACAGTACTCATGGATGGTATTGTTTATTTTGTGAGTAAATCTGTTATTTACTTGAAATGTGACCTCCAGGAGTAGTTTCAGTTCAAAGTTTAAATGATATCTCAGGGTAATTGTCTCAGGGCTGATAGTCTCAACCTATACAGTAAGTCGGACTTTTTAAGAATTTTGAGTTTTGTTCTACATTTTTCTCCTGTTCTATCAGGATGTATCTGTTGTGACCCTGATCAGAATGATTGGTTGTAATAGCTGGGCACCACCAGCTACTTTTTCTGGTCTCAGGGTAGATGAGGCCATGGTTCATGTAGACTGTTAGTCCTGTAGAATAGTTTCATCTTTGAGTCTTTGTTTTACTTCTTTCCCTTTTGCTCCAGATGTGTAGAGACCAATAGTTGTATCTTAGATGGCCACTTGCAAGCTTTTAAGATCCCAGATGCTACTCACTAAACTAGGACGTAGAACATAGACTTTATGAACTATATTATGCCAATTGACCAAGTTTTCCTACGAGACTATGGTCTTAAGCTTCAAACCCAGTAACCAATCCCACGAGGTGTTTGGTTATGTCTAAGAGGTATCTGTAATTGTGCCCTTACGTGCTTTATTATATGTATATGAATATATATACAGCACACACAATCAAGCAACACCAATAAACATATATGCCCATAGATACACCTATACATGCACGCGTATATACACACACGTACCTACCTAATGACTCATTTTCTTATACAGGTTGCCCCGACTTACGATGGAGTTCCATTCTGATGACTCTGTTGTAAGTCGGTTCTGATGTAAGTCGGATACTTTTTTTAGTTTTCATGATTGCCTTTTTTTTATGAGTATCTTTATAAATCCGATCTTCGAACATCTGCGATGAACATTTGAGAATGATAACATCAGCAAATTATGCACTGCAATATTGTACGTAGTGTACATATTACTAACGATAAGATGTACAAACAAACAAAAAAAAACAGACAGTTGTAAGTGTGGTTCAGTGTAACTCAAATACCTTTTAAGTTGGGAACTTCTTGTAAATGAAATGCTTTGTAGTATGGCAGAGCACTAAGAACTGAAGGTATAGTGAGTACAAGCAATATAACAAGTTAATCTTTCTGTAAAGAACTAGTTTTAGTTGGATATATTTTTAAATCTTTTAAAATGCATTTCTGAGGTGGCATAAAATCATGGAAAACACAGACCTCCCAAACAAATAGAAAGCCAGAACTTTGGGATTCAAACAGAGCTATACTAGTCCGTTACTTTGAGGAATTCTCCCAAACCCTGGAGACCTTGAATTTCTGTTTAAGGAGTAGACAAAAAGAAAAGCCTGCCCATGGAGAGGAAACTAATAGGAGACCCCACCATAGAGCAGGGACTCCAAAGTGCTATACCTCCTCAGTGTAAAAGTAAATGAAAACTGAACCCAACCATGAAAGGTAAAGAAACTTGCTGGATGAAAAGGCGGGGGGGGGGGTACCTTGAAAATTTCTAGCCATGAGCTGCCCTTTATGCAGATTTACAGGCCAAATTCGTGCTACTTGTGATAAGAAAAAATTCCAGTGAAATATCTAACTTATAGCAGTCCCGGGTTGATAGGCCAGAGGCTAATGGTAAAAGCAAATATCAGTCCACTTTGGAGGAATTTATTTTAACTCAGGCATTAAAGAATTCTCAAAGATAAAGTACCAAGAAGAGTAAGCAGCTAACAGTCAAAAATCATAAACACATAAGGAAACAAGGCACCATAAAACACAGACAGCAGAACAGACTTGTAATGACCTTAGATTCTGAAATTATCAGATAATAATTTTAAAAAATTACTGTTCTTTAAAGTCTCTTGTACCCTTTTCAAATTTTGTTTAATTTGTTTAAATTTTAAAAAGAGAATCTTGAAAGTATGAGAAGAGAGCTAGAGACTTTGAAGATGACCAAACAGATTTAAAAATAATGCAATAGAAGTTTGAGTAATAAAAAAAACAAATCCAACAGAATGTAGAAATTATCGAACAGTATTTATATCACACACAAGGAAAATTTTACTGAAGATCATTCAAAAGCAGTTGCAGCAGTACATCGATAGGAAACTGCCAGAAATTCAAGCTGGATT